TAGTATAAAATATAATTATTAGTTTTAATAATAACTGTTATATGATACAATAAAAATATAATTATTACTCAATTAAAATAAAATATAATAGTTTTTTTTTAATTAATAAAAAGAAGTGCAAGAAAATACTGATCTGCTTCCATTTCCATTTTTCGTAAGCGGGCTTTATCATTAATGAGATTTGGTGAATTAATGTAATAATAATAATAATAATAATAATAATAATATGAATAATAATAATAGTAGTAGTAGTAGTAATAAAAATAATAATAATAATAATAATAATAATAATAATAATAATAATAATAATAATAATAATAATAATAATGGATTGTAACGTTTTTGAAGTACAGAAAGTTTGCCATGTAGGTATTATTTAATAGGTAAATTTTATTTGGTAAAATTAAATGTTATGCTAGCAATTATATATATATAGATTGAGATGTGCATATAGTTATTAGTTGAACTATTTTTATTAAAAAAAAATGAACTATTTAAATATTAAGACTTATGAATTTATTTTTATTTAACAGAAATTATTAAATTAATTTCGTACTTAGAATAAATCATTATTGAATTAAATCCCCGTCTAGAATTAGTAAAATGGATTTTGCCATAATAAACAGTGGTGGCTAATATTTTTGTTAATATTGTGACATGATAGATATGATATAACCAATATTTCGAAGCTACGCATTTATTTGCCACGGAAATGGAAGATTTTCGACCAAACGAGTTTTTTTTTTTCTTCAAAACGATAGAATATTATAACTGAGAAGATATAAGAACCCGAAACGATGTACAAGCTGGCACAAGGGCAGGGTAGGAGGGGCGCTAACAATAGCGACCTAATACTAAAACTAAGACTAAAGTAAAACGGGTTTATTGCACCAAATCCCCCTGTATTATATGAAATCTGCGCGTTTTACCCTGCTATTTCAAAAATTGCGTCAAACCCCCTTGTATTTAATGTTTACGTGCAGACTCGCCCCTTTATGTTAACACCGTTACTTTAATAGTAACGGCGTTACTTTTTTGTTTAATTTACCATTATACCCTTGCTTTATCAATGAATTTACGATTATACCCTGCTGTCAATATGTAAACCTAAAATTAAAATCTCAAAAGTGGGGATTGAACATTGTACTTTTGGGTTGAAAAAGGGATCTCCCACCAACTGGGCTACTCGACATGTAGTTATAAATGTGATTCTATTTATATATATCTTAACGTATAGAAAATATATAATAACAATTAATTATAAATAATGTATTAATTAAATATATATATCTAAGTTATTAATAATATATTGATTAAGTATATATATATAATTAATTATAAATAATGTAATAGTTAAGAAATATTTTCTAACTTATAAATAATATAATAATTATGTAAGTCGATTATAAATTACTAATATTTAATAATTAAATTAATATATTCTAAATTATAAATAATATAATAATTGAGTAAATATATTCTAAATTACTAATATATAATAATTAAATAAATTTATTTTAAATTATAAATATTCTAAATTATAAATGATATAATAATTAATAAAATAGATTATAAATTTTAAAATAATATAATAATTTAATAAACAAATTTAAATTATAAATAATATAACAATTAAGAAAAAATATTCTAAAAAATAAATAATATAATGATAGATATAAATTATAAGTAATATAATAATTCAATATATATATATATATTATAATAATTGAATAAATAGATTCTTAATTATAAATAATATATTAGAATCTATTTACTCAATTATTATAAAATATAAATATTGAATTATTATATTACTTATAATTTATAATATCATTAAATTATGTATATTTAAGTAATTATATTCTAACTTATAAATATTTATATTAATTGAATAAATTATATTCTAAAATATAAATGATATAGTAATTAAGTAAATATATTCAAAATTATAAATAATACAATAACTAAATAAAGAGGTTCGAAATTATGAATAAGATTAAAATTTTTATAAAGATTTATATTTATTCATATTTCAAAATAATTAAAATAATCAAAACTTATTTATATTATTTGAAGCTCATAACAAAGAATATTTTATATTTTAATTAATATTTTTTTGAATTATAAATAACATTTTTTATTTTTTTACATTACTAGAATTTAAAATAAATAAGCTGATAAATAATAAGTATTTAATTTATTTATTACAAACTGAAAATAAGAATTTTATGGAAATAAATAAAGTTTATATATTTTTTAAATATGTAAGAAAATATAAAAACTAAATAAGTGAAATAAAAACAAATCATATATTATATATAGAAGTATCATTTTATTTTATAATAAATAAATTTAATTTAATTTAATTTATTATTTTATTATAATTAATTTTATTTTATTTTGTTATATATATTATGTTACTACATTAATAAAAAAACATATATTTATATTTATATTTATTTTTTTTTTTATTTAAATTAAATGATCATTAATTTTTATATTAAATAGTAATATATTCATTTATTATTTTCAAACTTCACATTTAATATAATTTTTTATTATTTTATTTCAATTAAATTTTAATATAATGATTTAGTTTGTGATTATATTATTTTTTATTTTTGTTTGATTAAGTTTTCCTCTTGTTCCTGTTGCTTTAAATAAATGTGTGTTAATTTTGTACAATATAACGATAGTGGCACAGTGGTTTAAATTCTTGGCTAGTGATGTTTTGACCCAAGTTCGAATCCTATGAGGAGCAGCCAAACATCAATTTTTGCCCAACAAGTAAGGGGCAAAATAGTAAATTTCAATTTTAAAATAAAAAATATATGAAAAAATTGAATAATTGCCGCATTACATGAATGTGTGCTGCACGCGCTGTGAAGTTGGACGGAGAGGGGGGATTCGTGCAAAAGTTAGTTAATACGAGGGGGTCTGACGCAATTTTTGAAATACCAGGGAAAAACGCGTAGATTTCATATAATACAGGGGGATTTGGTGCAATAAACCCAAAGTAAAACCATCACACTAGCAAGACAGAGCCGAGCTCCAGCATTAGACTTAGACTTTAGTTGTGCAGTATAAGACCACTACACTAGCAAAAGGGAGTATCTGAAATTGGATGAATCCCTATCAGATACCCCACTAAAAAACAGAACAACCTAACAAAAAATCTAACAAAGGCCAACAACAACTAAAAAAGAAGAACAACATCAATAAAACCAACACTAAGAAGAACCAATGTCCAAGAATTCTCTCCATTCTGAGGCAACAGATTGTATGATGGTGTATTCTGAGAGCCAAAAATTTTGGAAGACCCAAAGATTCTTAGAATTCCAAATCCACCAAAACAGGTAAGCTGTTTACTATATCCTTCGCTCTGAGATTAGTGAAGGTTTAATGTTGCAAATTTTCAACCACCAGATTTTGAAAAGAAGAAGTATCATTGGACAGTCCATCCTAAGAAACCAATAAAAAAATAATTTGCTACAACACAGACATATGATGAACTATATATACACAAAAAAGAATAAATAAATCCTTATAAATATTATTAAAAACCAATAAAACTCAAATCACAATATGAATACACTGAAAACACAAGTATATTGTGTTTGAATAGAAAGGATGTGATTTTGTAATAAAAGATATGGATAAAAACTTATCTTTTTTAGTATTACCTCATTTTTAAGTTCTCTTGTCGATGTTCCGAATTATGTTCCACTCTATTGAATGAATAATCAACGTATGATTATGATATCATCATATACACGTGTTGTCTGATCAATGAATTCGAATATCATTTTGAAATAGAAAATCTTTTTCTATCATTATTTTGCCTTGAGAAATATATGAGAATATTCCTTATATTTTGAGTGTCATTGACCAATATATGAGAATATTCCTAACATTTTTAATGTCATTGACCTTTTAAGGCTTAATAAGATTTTATTTACTCTTCTTGTATCTAGTTTGTTTATTTCTTTTATTCGAGGGTCCTTAAAAAATCTATCATACCTTGTCATATGAAGAATGAAGCTTTATCACTCGGAAATCATCTCGCTTTTGTAGAACTGTTGTGTGCCCAGGGGAGAAAAAATTAGGACATCTTCCTCCATTATATTTCAAAATTATTGTTTGATGCGATGCTTCTCCAGAGATCATATTCTAGCAAAAGTTCTCATCATATTGATAAATTTAAAACTTACATGATTACAATTGAGCAATTGAAATTTCATTGGACTGTTCTTAAAATATGTTTAAAATTATGGGACTATTCTAAAAATTTTCTAAAAGTCACATGGAGATGATGTGTTAGTTAACCAGACATTTTTTGCATGACACGTAGGACATTGGCAAAAATTATGGTTATTTTGTATATTTTTTTTTTTTTAGAAAATGTTACAGTCATGTTACGGAATCATTCCGTTTAGATTTTTAACTGTTAGATGCACATGTAGTTTAGTGTAGAATGTAAACCTAACGTTAAAAATTTCAACGGAATAGTTCCGTAACGGCACTGTTGCCTTGTTGTTTCTAAATGAGATTAATTTCCATACACCTATGTAGTCATTGGACTTATTTTAAAATTTTCACCCAATAAAATTATTCTCTGATGATCTTAATTTAATCAATCAAACCTAATACACATAAAATAATAAGGTCCTTCACTCTTTCGTCCTTCAATATATATACTCCTACAATATTATATACACGAGACAGTTTACTTTAAAGTTTTCAGATGGTCCCTTCCCTCTCTCAACATCTCTTCATCAACCTTTCCTCTCTGACTCTCTCCCCACTCGCCCCCAAGAGTTTTTTCTATTCCTCCTAGGGTTTCAACCGTTCCTTCTTTAATTTCTTTATTATGTTAAGAACAAAATATTTTATTTAAAAAAAATTCGATTTACTTCTTCGCTTTATTCCGATTAAAAAATTATTTTATTTCCCGATTTCCCGTTCTCACTGTGTGTGTGTGTTTAATAATAATCGTATGTATGGCCCACTTTGTGTCTGAGCTCCAAAGGCTCCCCGACTCCTCCGAGGACGATCCCAACCCCGGAGACCCCTCGGGCAGGCGTCCGCGCGGCCGGCCCCCAGGCTCCAAGAACAAGCCGAAGCCTCCCGTCATAATCACCCGGGAGAGCGCCAACACGCTCCGGGCCCACATACTCGAGGTAGCCGCGGGCGCCGACGTGTTTGGCGCGGTGGCCTCGTACGCGCGGCGCCGGCAGCGGGGCATCTGCGTCCTGAGCGGCACGGGCGCCGTGGCCAACGTCACCCTGCGCCAGCCCGGCGCCCTCCACGGCCGTTTCGAGATCCTGTCGCTGTCGGGGTCGTTCCTGCCGCCGCCGGCGCCCCCGGGGGCGACCACGCTGGCGGTGTACCTGGCGGGGGGACAGGGGCAGGTGGTGGGAGGGAATGTGGTGGGCCCACTCATAGCGTCGGGCCCAGTGATGATAATAGCGGCCTCGTTCACGAACGTGGCGTACGAGAGGCTGCCTCTGGAGGAGGAGGAGGAGGCCGAGGCCGGGATTGGGATTCAGATGCAGGCGCCGCCGGGAGGAGGGGGTCAGTTTCAAGAACCCTTTCTGAATCTGCCGATGATGAATGTGCCCAGTGGAGGCGGGCAGATTAATCCGATGGAGGGGGCGTGGCCGAGCGGCGGCCAACCGTATTAGGGTTATTTTGATGATGAGGTCAGATAATTATTAATGCCAACATCTCCCATGTTGTAAATTTAGTTGCTTCCTTTTTCTATTATTATTATTTTATTTCTTTTTTTTTGTTGCTAGCTTTTTCCATTTTGTGATTGTGATTGGAAAACAAGAAAAAGAAAATCAAAAAACAATGAATGGGTGCTCTTGTTTTCCTTTGGTTTCTGTTTGGTTGTACTAATTTGGATGAGTTTCACAACTAATTTTGAGTTTTGGACGACTTTGGGGCATGTGACTCTTTCTTTATTGCAACTTGTTCATATTTTAAATAATCTTTGGTTTTCCCCAGAATCTTTATATATATATTAAATACATTAATTTCATCCAATTTTGGTAAAAAGCATAGATGAGAAAATTAAATCTGTCTGACCTTGTACATGCTAATACAAAGATCGACCTACAGATAGTTGTAATCGGCAAGTTACTCTCATCAATATCAATAATAATATAGTGAGGCTTAGGGGGTTGTATTCAATTTCAACTTTTAGAGACTTTTTAAGACTTTCAGAATTCTGGTGTATTCAATTAGAATTTTTAGAAACTTTTGAAAAGTTTACATGTATTCATTTGAGACTCTTAAAGACTTTTAAAAAGTTCTTAAGAGTATCAGAGTATTCAATTAAAACTTTATGAGAGTCTCTATAAGTCACCATGTATTCAAACTTCTCAAATTGTGAGACTTTTAGGAACTTTTCTAACAAAATTACAAAGAGAAAGTCCCAACAAAAATCTCATCAATATTGGTGAGACTTTGCTGGACTTATGTGATCCTCTTCATGCTCCCTTTCTTTTTTCTTTCTAACATGACTTTATATTTCATATCACTTTCATGCTCTATTATCTTAATCATTTATTTCTATACTTGTATAATTTTTATTTTCATTACGTATATTTAAAGTGATCTTTATTTTATATATTTTTTGATGGTTATTTTATGTATGTATACCTTTATTCTTTCATTTTGTTATCTTGTGAATTTGATTTTCCAAAGGTTAAATGCTTTTATAATTTGTACTTGCAAATAATTTATTTGTTCTCTATTTTTATTTGTCAATATTTATTTTTTAATATTAATAAAATTATTTTATTTTCTAATAGTTTATTTGTTGATATTGAATTGTTTTGAATATTATTGATAACTTTATAAAATACAATTACTGTTTTTCGACAATATTGGTATCTTCCATAGTTCGACTCGTTGAGGCTCGGATTGATTTGCTCTTTAATAAATCTAAAATTCTAAACAATTTGTTAGTAAATAACTCATTTCGCATAACAATGAGTTGATTCATAAATTTTTAGAGGATTAATATATAAAACATTTTTTTTATTTATTCTTTTTGATATAAGTTATTATGTTACGTTTATTAATATTTTATTTAAATATAATATTATAACCACAAGTATATAAAAATCTCAATAAGTTTTAAAAATTCCATTATAGTTAGTATGAGTTCATTTATTTTTAGCACATATATGGGTTCCCTTCTCAAACTCCAGTCTGGTTCATGTTTGTTTAATGATTACCACGACTTGTCCTTATTAGTTAGTACCATAATAATTTATTTAGATTGAACTTTTCTCTTCTACCTTTTAATGCGGGTGTTTGCAAAATTTCAGCGCTTTACTTTATTCTCTTCCTAGAAAATAAGGAGGAGAGACTGCATAAAGAGCTTAGCTAGTGAAATTTCATGACAATAATCAAGGTCTATTGTAGAAATGCTTGTTTTGATTTCATAATGTCATGTTTTTCTGTCAAAATTATTTTTTAGAAAATTATTTACAACAAAATATCAGTGAACTTTGTTACTTACATTTCTTTTAAATTTATACCCCTGTGACAACAAATTTTATAGAAAAAATAAAATTTTTATACAACTTGAATATATATTGATCAAACGATATGCGAGTTTCTCTATATGAGAGCTCTTTGAATTGAGACTTTGATTTATGAGGTATTAGATTTTTTGAGGTGTCTTGGGTGTTTGAGGTGTGTTAGGTGTGTTGGATTTTTTAGGTGTGTTTTGTTGCATTGAGGAGAGCCCTATTTATAGGTGTAGGAGAGAGAGTCTTGGAAAAGAAGACATCAATTTGATTGGTCATTTATGATTTCATATAATCTATTTTCTTATCCTAAGATTTGATATAATCTCTTTCCTTATCCTAAGATTTGACTTGGTGGACAAGACATCATAACTTTATTAATTAAATATCTTATTTATCTTGGATTTATGTCTAAAATAAATAAAGACACTAATTAATAAAATATTAAAATATCGATGTCTACAAATGCCCCCTTGAGACTTGTTCACGGACAAAATGTCTTGGTAGTGAATGAGTCTCAAAATTTTAGATTTTGTTGAGACATGAAGATAGTTTAAACTCTTATCTAGGAGTTCTTCAACTTGAGTTTTTAGATAGTTTAAACTCGTATCAAGGAGTCTTGAAGTGATTTGACAGATAGTTTATACTCGTATCAAGGAGTTCTTGATTTGGTTTAGTTTATACTCGTATCAAGGAGTCTTGATTTGATTTGATATGTAGATAGTTCATACTCGTATCAAGGAGTTCTTGATTTGGTTTAGTTTATACTCGTATCAAGGAGTCTTGATTTGATTTGATATGTAGATAGTTTATACTCGTATCAAGGAGTTCTTCATTTGACTTGATTTGTAGATAGTTTAAACTCGTATCAAGGAGTCTTGATTTGATTTGACAGATATTTTATACTCGTATCAAGGAGTCTTCAAATTTGTAGACATTTTATGCTCATGTCAACGAGCCTTCAAATTTGATATTGATTTGATTTGACAGATAGTTTATACTCGTATCAAGGAGTCTTCAAATTTGTAGATATTTTATGCTCATGTCAACGAGCCTTCAAATTTGATATGTTGACCTTTTATTCTCGTGTCAAGGAGATCTTGATATGTAGACATTTTATGCTCGTGTCAAGGACTCTTCAAGTTTGATATGTAGACCTTTCTCGTGTCATGGAGATCTTGATATGTAGACATTTTATGCTCGTGTCAAGGAGTCTTCAAGTTTGATATGTAGACCTTTTATTCTCGTGTCAATGAGATCTTGATATGTGGATATTTTATGCTCGTGTCAAGGAGCCATATAGAGAGTTTAGGCTCATATCAAGGAGCATTTGAATATGTGGACATTTTATTCTCGTGTCAAGAAGATCTTGATATGTAGACATTTTATGCTCGTGTCAAGGAGCCTTCAAGCTTGTAGACATTTTATGCTCATGTCAAGGAGCCATATAGATAGTTTACCCTCATATGAAAGAGAAATGTAGATAGTTTAAGCTCATATCAAGGACCATTGTAGATAGTTTAAGCTCGTATAAAGGAGCATTTGAATGTGAAGATAGTTTAGACTCTTGTCAAGGAGCATTTGAATATGGAGATATTTTAGGCTCATATCAAGGAGCATTTGAATTTGAGGATTCGATGGAGCTCTTCATGTATATTGCCCACATGGAATTTGAGAAGAATATGGAATACCACTTTTGCTTCTTCCATTCGGATGTTTGAATGATTTTCGATGGATTCATGGTTTAGGAAAACATCATCCTTCGTTGCCCCCATGTACATTTTTTTCAAAGAGGTCTTCATGCATCTTCAGAAATTTTCGAACTTGATTTGGAGAGAAGAGACGAGAGGTAGATAAGGTCCCACTGGGCGTGCCAAATTTGTAACAACAAATTTTATTTGGGTCCCACTGGGCGTGCCAAATTTGTAACAATAAATTTTATAGAAACATAAAAGTTTTGTACAACTTGAATATATATTGATCAAACAATATGCGAGTACAATCTCTATATGAGAACTCTTTGAATTGAGACTTTGATTTATGAGGTATTAGATTTTTTTAGGTGTCTTGGGTGTTTGAGGTGTGTTAGGTGTGTTGGATTTTTGAGGTGTGTTTTGTGGCATTGAGGAGAGCCCTATTTATAGGTGTAGGAGAGAGAGTCTTGGAAAAGAAGACATCAATTTGATTGGTCCTTCATGATCTTATATAATCTCTTTCCTTATCCTAAAATTTGATAAAATCTCTTTCCTTATCCTAAGATTTGACTTGGTGGACAAGACATCATAACTTTATTAATTAAATATCTTATTTATCTTGGATTTATGTCCAAAAATAAATAAAGACACTAATTAATAATATATTAAATTTTTGATGTCTACAACCCCATATAATTGCATGCTATACATTTAATGTACTTTTTCCGTTCTTTTTAATTTAATTGTGAAATTGTCTGTTACATTTTGTAGCAATTGAGTGTAAGAATATTTTTTAACTTAATTATTCATTATACAGTAATTACTATTAATATTAATAAATTATAAATTCTTTTAGTTTATGGAATTTGTACACTTATAATAAATACCTAGTAAAATGTATATGCGATACAGGCGGTGACATAATTATATTTTTCCACATGAATTATCTACTAATTAAGTATAATCAATTTGTTAAATATGAAAATATGAACATGTAGCATAGTAAAAATTTAAAACAGTTACCCAAGCTTAAAACTTGTTTATGCACTATATTTATTCTATTTCTTCATATGTTATTCTAATTCTCCATATGCATGTGTTGCCTAGTTTCAGTATGAAATTGGTGGTCGAAGTGAAGC